GGTTTAATGAAATTCTTAGCAGGCTCTCTGCAATTTTGTGACAGGATGAGAATCTGAGATTAGCTTTATAGAGGAAACAGATATTGCAGGCCCCCCCTTCCCTATTCACTCTGCCTGGTTTAATAGAAGAGTAATTGTAATATACAATCTCAGGAGAATCTAGAAATACCTTCACCTGTCCCAGAGTTTTGGATTACTTGTCTAATAAATTATTTTAATCCTTCCCTCAGGCAAAGCAAGAAATTTGGCATATGGCAACTCTGTCTTTCCCTCCTCTACTACATTAAGGTAAAATCTCACTCTGATTTACATGCAGTACTCTACCACCACAACTAATGAAACTGTGTCAGGAAAAGTCAAGGCATAATGTAGTGCTACAGATGTTTTTCAGGAATGGTAGATTTCACAAACTTTCACTATTACCAGCTTTTATTGAGTTCTGAAAGTTCATGTATCTTTCTCCTGACTCCCCTTCTCTCTCGAGATACTTTATTGCAAGCTTGTAAAGAAAGTTCTGTTATGCTGCATAGGATTTTAGTTTATGGGGAGTGATCATATTTTTTTATAGTCTTGTCTCTTCAGACTCTTCAACAAGAGGTAAATCACAAATTTGGCTAAAACAAGCAAGTACAGAAGGACATTTTAAATAGCAAAAAGAAAAAAAATCCAAATTTTGCAAGGGAGATCTTTTTATCAGTTCTTCTATAAAACTGATATTAACAATCACTCAGTTGAAAAAAATACCTCCCAAGCTCATTCCAGGAGAGGCACAAAACCAGGATATAAAGAGTTGTTCTATTCATATGATTAGGCTAATTTTGGGGCAATCTAACAGACTGATTTGGAGGGAGTCCTGAGAAGCTCCTTTCCTCTTTAGCTTTCTCACTGGCTACACAGCTTCATGTTCTTGCTCCTTTCTACTTTAGAAACCAAGATAGGAAGACTATCCTTGTCTAATGTAGGCAATTGCTCATTCTGTCTCTGTGGAGGAAGAATTGGGAGCTAGTGCTTTTTTCATTAATGGACAAAAGTAAATACAATCAAAACTCTGGAAAATTTCAGACTGTTTTCTCACAAGAGAAATCAAACAGTCCTGGGAAAGGAATTCAGACTTATGGAGAGTCAAAGAAACAATTTTTCATCTATTCTCAACACCCAGAATGAGAAAACTGTCACCACTTTAGATCATTTCCTTTGATGCCAGCAGCCCTGGCAGGACAAGATTATTTTGTTATCAGTGATAAACACTGCAAAACACCCCACTGTGTGTATCACCTGAGGGTAGCAGAGCAGTCTGAGGTCCAATGAGAGTTGTCCTCTTTTCTCAGGTTGGACACCTCAGCTACCAGCCTCTGAACCAGACACATGTTTTCAGCAAGCCAAAAAACACCTTGTCCCCCTGCAGCAGCAGAATGCAGAAGCATTCCCTTCCCTCTACCTACATTTTTAACTGCAAAATAAATCCACTGAACTGCAATGCTGCTCTCTTTAAGAATGCCTTTTACTAAACAAGCTCTGTGACACTAACAAAGCCAGTCAGGTGATGACCACTAACACACAGCAACAAAGACGATGGCACAAAATATATAAAGGATTGTTTGTGATACCCAAGGCACAGAAGAGGCTGCACACAGAGCAGTCCTGCCCTCTCCTCTCAGAAGGGGCTACAGCCAAGCCAGCTGGATCCAGCAGCGCTGTTTCAGCCACCCATCTTCCCTCCAGCCAGCATATCCTTAAAACAGGGAAAAAAGGCTCTTGCAAAGTTATCTTCTTCCTGTAAAGCTTCACTAGCTCCTTTTTACTGAGCACAAATGCGTTTTTACTAATTCCGTTGCTGAAACTAACATGACAGTTCTCCATTTCAGGAAGGTTTAAAACCTTGCTAAGAGCAAATAAAAGCTAACTAAAACCTCAAGACATTCATGAGAATGAATTTTAAAAATGCTCTCTTCCTACTGTAGGATCAAAATTGGGAAGCGTGAATGTTGGGGCTTAGCATTGGTAATGCTGTTAATACTTTTTCTTGACTTTCCATTCTCCTCTGGTTAAACAAATTAAATAGAAAACCTTGCATTTCTCACACTCCCCAGCGTGAGTCTGGGATTGTTTCCCCTTGCCTGACTCCTATATCAGTTCCTATTCAGAAAGCAGCCGGTCTCTGAATAGATTCAGAGCTGGTTATCTCCACACACAATATATCATAGTCGATCCAGGCTTCAATTATTTTTTTTCCCCAGGAAACAATTATTTCACTATTTGTCAGTCTTTCTCCAACCTCTGCCCCATAACTTTTGAAACGGTTGGCCAATTTTAATGAAATCTGGCAAAAAAGCACAAATCTTAAAGACATTAAATTCATATCATCTTTGTGCAAATCAATAGGTGAGGAGGAAAGATTTTGAGCAAGCATTATTATTTCTGCTGCTTCACTGAAGATTTTTTTTCCTCACATTTCCACATTCTTCAGAACAAGTCCCAGGGGCTGTCCTTGAAGAGCAATAGCTTGGGGATACTCCCCTAGGTAGGGAGTAAATCTCAACTCCCATTCAGATACTCCAGCTGAATTTACAGTGGTTCCAGCCTCAGGTGGGCAGCACACTCCTTCCTCTCTGCCCCTTTGACA